TGTGAGAAAGCAGGCTAAAACCGTTATGTTTTACAACTTGTATTAATGTGTATCTTCACGCAGCTGCCTCAAGGCTGTATTATGAATGAATTGCTTGATATAGGATTTCCCATACAGATGTAATTTCTGTTGTCATAATCTGTCTGATAAAAGTGCATTTGTGGAAGGCTTAAAAAGCACAAAACCAAAACCCCTCAAACAACCATGCAAGCATTCCATCAGAAGGCAAGCTATTCTTTCTCATCAAGTCCAAACCAAAGTTTGATGTGATGAGACCAGCGCTGGAGAAAGAAGAATCTTGATCAGCTGTTTCTGTGATCTCAGCAGTGAACTCCCTTGATTCCCTCACCTTTAGGAGTTCAGGTCTCCCTTGGTAGCCACACACCTGGGTTCTCCAGCCATCGACAGACAGGGATAAAAGGAGGTTGATTCCTCTATTCCTGTCCCTGGCTTCAGGATCATAGAGAAAACTAACAGTATGTTTAAGGCAGCAAATGTTTACTCACACAACAGTACCTCTAAGTGACAAATTTAATGTGTTCTTTTTTTTAAAAAAAAAAAAAAGTGCAGGAAGGGCAGAAGCTGTGGTGCCAAAGCTCCAGACAGGCTGGATAGTTTATTTACCATATTGTTTCTCTGTTTCATCCTAGCTGTGTATTTTATAGGCTGCAGTAGAGACGGGCTTCACATTATTCTGGGTATGCAGGATTCACCCATGGTTGTGGAGATTTCCTCCCTACAAATCAGGAGGTAATTCAATTTCAAGGTCTGTTCAGTCATCATCTTTCTGCCAGTTTATGTAGAATAATTAATTGGAGGCATTTGTTCATTGCAGCAGCTTAATGAACCAAGAGGTGATAATTATTTTCTGTGGACTCAGCTTAAAATCTGGTCCTGTGATTTCAGGATGCCGAGGCTGACAACCACCTCAACTTAGGGTACACGTGATTATCAAGAGTAGCCTCCAAAAAGAAGTCAAGATTTATTTACATTACAACAAACATGTTCCATGTTTTGAAATGTTCCGTCTGAGAGAAATTTATGCAGTGTTTTAGCAAACTGTAAACCAATAGCTGCATCAAACATGATTCTTTTGCTCAACTTCTCTTTGAGCTTTTATTAGAGACACCTTTTTAATGTATTGTACCCTCTCATTAGACTTCAAAGCATATGAATGAAATTATTTAAAGACTAAAGAGTTTATATAAAAATGGCCTTAAATAGCCTATATTTACTTTATTCAGATCATCTTGTTCCAAGGGTGGTAAAGGAACCTTACTGGAGAGATACAGAGCCTTACAGACAACTCTCTCCCCTGCTCCCCCTCTCTAATATTAATCTTGTATTATCTTTTGCTGAAATTGAAGTATTTTCAGGTGCTCTCCTTACTTGCTCTTGGTGCTGAATGCAGAATAGCTTGTTTAGCATGCTGAGCTTTTCTGAAAATCTGCCTGGAATTCTAAGAGGAAAGAAGTAAAAAGTGCATCCTTAAAAAGTTGGTTTTCCCAGATAAAGTAATTACAGTGAAGCGTATCTAGCAAAGATAACCTCAGATTTTTGGATTTATTATGGATACAGGTATGTGATCAAAGAGAAAACAGAACATACTTGTTCTGGTCTGGGTATTGCAGTGTGAGTGTTTCTACCCATATAATAGCTTAATTTCTGTGCAAATGTCATATGAGACTTACAGGGAAAGAAGTGCAGGCTGTAATGAGACTACTTGAATTTCTTCAAGGGTCATATAGATATTTTTAGGAACCTTTGAAAGAACAGCTTGTCAGTCCTTCAATTTTTGACAATTTATTTTAATGTTATTTCTTCTAGAGGAGCATAGTAATAAATGGACGCTTTCTTTAAGCTGTATTTCACTGACTATTTTATTTGGAAGTTGAGTATAGGCCACCTCTATCTGATCGTTGCCATATTTTTCCTTTCTGTCAGTGTTCTTGAGAGTGTGGAGAATTGGGGTCAAAAAGGAGAAAAACCATCCAGTATGCAACTCCCCAATATAACATATTCATCAAAGCTGACACTTAAGTCTTACAGCAGCACAGTAAAATAAAACTTGCTCAAGGAGAACTAAACAGCCACAACAAAACCCCCAAAGCCTGCATGCGTTCTGAGTGGTTTACAAACACTTCAGGAGGGGAAGAGAAAACTGCAGTTTGCTCTGCAGATCCTCTGGTGTTTCCCTTGTGCCCTCAAGCTTCTGAGGAATGTCTCGGATGATTCCCAATTTCACCTTCTGACCGAGAGAAGCTGTGTGCTTATACACCAGCTTGGGTTTTGCGTGGGGTTTGTATGGCTGCCTACAGCCTTTGTGCCCACCACCAACTCTTTTTATTGTGAACAAAGGCTAACTGCTTCCAATCAATACTTCCAATTATTTTTCCTTTATTAAAACCCTTTGAACTTCAAGCCAACTTGTAAATTTGGAGTCATCCAGCTAACCTTAAATGCTGGTTTTTGTTATGGAAATTACCAAAAGTGAAAGCTGTGAATTATTTTGTATGGCTTGTGAATAGTTTCAAGATCCCAAATTGGTTTTGTTAAGCTTTCCCTCATTTCCTTATTAAAAAAAAAACCCAAACAAACCCCCCCAAACAATACAAAAATATCCCAAACAAACAAATAACTCCCCCAAAACTAAGAAGAAAACAGCAGTTACTCAGAGGGAAGGTATTTTGTTGTCAAGTACAGTGGGTTTGTGGAATGAGTGAGGAATCTTTGGGGACCAGTCTTCTCTGTGTTAACTGCCCTGCTGCTGCTTTGAGGACCAGGTAATAAAAGTAGCACCAGTTAGCCAGGACACTTAAATCAAAATTGCCAGAGGTACCTGCTGTTCTTCACGTATATTGAGAACATGCCAGTGACTCACAGGCGGCAAATCAGTGTCCCATTGGTTCCACTTAAGCTGCTATTGTCTCTACTTCATCAGAGTTGGAGAAAGGTGATAATAAAAGCTGATGAAAGATGGATCTACCTCATCCAGAAAAAAAACAGCTTCCCATTTATGGGAAAAAACTTCATTTTACAACCATTTGCAGTCTGTTTTGTTTAGGGTTTTTGGTTTTGGCTTTTTTTTTTTTTTTTTTTTTACATAGGAGAAATGGTGGATCCCTGCAGAATAGTGTAGGAGCTTTCGTTCTTTTTCATCTTTCAACAGTAGAATCACTACATCCAAACCTTATTTGGCATCAAGAACAAAAATCTACCTATGAGAGACTGTGCCCAGCACTTGCAAAATAAGACTTTTAATAGTTTCAGCAAAACAATGTTATTCATATAGACATACAAAGGGCCTGTACAACAGAAGTATTCATCAGGTTCTAACATCTGTTCTCGTTCTTCCTGTGTTCTTTGCATGTTCCAGTTGATCCAAGCACAATTACTATGGTCTAAGCATCGATGCTGGTGAAAGCTCTGTGTAGACATATGGATTTCAAGTATGAATTTAATCTCCAGCTGCTTGTGCTGCCACTTCTCTTCCCCTGGCAGGAGTTCTAATGCGTTAATATATACCTTGTTGATCTACTCTGCCTTGAGAAAGCGAACGGTGTACATCTGTCACTGTGGTAGTCACTGCTTTTATTGGATAGCAGAAAAATGCCATTTTGTTTATCAGATTTATTGTAGACTTGATGGTATAATCCAATAATATTAAAAAAAAAACACCAATCAAACAAAGCCCCCGAAAGCGTATATAGCTTCCTTGTGTGTGGCTGTAAGAAGCATAGAGAGTGTTATTGAAACTTCACTCTCCAGTGAATTACAACTTTTCAGATGGAAAAAGGATAGAAAAATGTTTACAAAAGCTCGAGTAATTCAGCAACCTGACATTGTGTTAGAACACTTACTTATGACTTTAAGAGAAAGTGCAAGTGAGAAGCAAAAATAATATATATGACTTTAACATTAAACTTTCTCAAAAATGTAGAAAACAACCAGCACTGTATACATGGGCAAAGTATTATTTAAAAACAAGAACAGAATTCTGTACTTCTGTAGTGCCTATACATTTTATGTGTTTGTTTTCTACATTAAACTGTTTGGCTTTTTGTATTTAAATCCTGTTTCCCTTGGTCAAGAGAGGAAACTGAGTTTGGCGAGAATCAAAACAATGGAGTTTCCCGATTTGTATGTAGATTTGTTTGTGTGTTTGGGTTGGTTGTGGATTTAGTTTGTTTGTTTTGATGGATATCCCCCCCACTCCTTGCACTGGGTGTTTTCACTTGGAATATCTCCTGCCCAAATAGGAAATGTTACTTCACTGTAGGACAAAATTTGTGTAAGGATTTTCTTTATGTACTTGCAATGTGTATATGTTGGAGGGAAATAACTGTTTTCGTGTAATAGACTTGTTTTATTTTTGCTCGAGGCAAATCTGGAGACACAGCTTGCACTCTGGGAATAAATGTTTGTCTGCTGCTATCAGGGATAACTGTGACCAGGGAGGTGAGGAGGCTGTGACTTTCAGGGGTGGTCTTGGGAAGCCAAGGTTGGAAGGAGCTCCTGGTGTCTTCATGCTTCGTGCTGAGTTTTGAGCTCAGCAATTTCGAGAGCTTCTGCTCTTGGGAGACAAGCTACTGACTCGGGAGTGAGTGGGACAGCAGAAACTGTTGCCAGGAGACAGAGCAACATCCAACCTGCGTTCATCCCAGAGCTGAGAGCGAGGCGGGAGGGCTACTGATCTGCTGGACTGAATGTAAAGTAGTCGTAAGCATGATCTAGTCTCCAGCAAACTGGAGACTCTTTAAATTGCTGAAAAGTGAAATTTGGAGAAAAGCATTGACAAAGCCTGTTAAGTAAACCTCTCTGCCTATTTCCAGCTACCGTGTTCATCTCCTTTGCTTCAGCAGGTATCCTCCGTCTCTGAACGATTACTGTATTTTTAAGCAGTTGCGATATACCTGCCTCAGATTTTGGTGAGCTAACAAAACAAGATCTCTTCCCTTTTCATCCCATTGGCAAAAACTTTTTGAAATACAGATAAAGATGGGGAGAACAAAGGCACTTTAATATCTTGCAACAATCTGTGCTAGCTATTTATTTTCTACTGCCAAGCAGAAAGAACAGAAACATACTGACTAATTTTTACCAGAACAATAATCAGACATCCACCAGTAAACAAGAGGGTAGGCCAAAGGAAAGCAAAGAGGAGACCTTTTGGGGGGTAAAGTCTGCTTAAAATGACATTGGTCTGTGTTCCTCCTGGGTCATAGTAGCACGGGAAAGTCTGGTATTTTCTGAAATTGCTTGCAATTGTTTCTATTCGTGCTTTAACTTCTTTAGAGTTCTCTGACTTGCCTGGGACGTATGAGCACTGGAATAAGAAATCAGGGCAATTTGTTATAACAGATACTCTAACACAAGGTTTGTAGTTACGTCAGATTGAGTAAAACAAACATGCTAGTACTGACAAAAACTTCTGTGGTATGGATAGCATTCCATCATCTTGGTTTCCTTATGCCCATAACCCATTTGCAATGCTTCCTTATTTCTGACAGTGTGCCCTCAGTCTGCAGATTGACAAATTAGAGTAATATTATTGGAAACCAGTAATACATATGTGCCTAAAATAAAACTGCACTCTCAGAGACTGCCACTTACAGTGCCATGCTCAGAATCCTAACAGAGCTTCTAGGCACCACCACAGCAGCAATGTGTTAGCTGGGCAGAAGTTCACAACTGGCTTGTCAGTGTGCAGAAAAAAAAGGGTGCTTCACTGTGTATGTCTGGTTGTAACTAGCAGAAAAGTAAGAGGACAGTATAGCTTTTGCAGACTTCCTACTTGTCCTTATAACACAGAACTGTATTGATCTGTAGCAATAACACAAAGAAACTTAGTCTTAAGTGGAAATACTCTTGGATTTGAGATGCTCATAACCATTTCTTCTCTGCAATATATTTTGCATGCATAATAACACTTGAGTGTCTTAAGCTGGAAACTGGTCAAGGTGGAAAGGGATTCCTGACCTAAAGGCTTCTACTTGTAGTATGCAAACAGTAGGTAGGAAATCAGCCAATCGCCTCCTTTTGCAGTGAACAAGACTCTTGTTTCAATCTACAGTGGATAATTTCTGCTTTCTCCATTCATGTATGTAGCTTTCCCTGAGATAGTCACGATAAAGGTAGGCACTAGCTTGCACTGTGTGAAACTCCAATCTATATGACTTCTTGAAGAACTTGAGCACTTTTAGTCACAGACTCACAGAATGTTCGGGGTTGGAAGGGACCTCTGAAGATCATCTAGTCCAACCTTCATCCCAGCACACCTAACCACTACACCACAGCCTCAAGTGCTAGATCTACTTTTTTTTTTAAACACCTCCAGGGTTGGTGACTCCACCACCTCCCTGGGCAGCCTGTTCCAGTGCCTCACCACTCGTTCAGGAAAGAACTTCCTCCGAATATCCAATCTAAACTTACCCTGATGCAACTTGAGGCCATTTCCCCTTATCCTGTCATTAGTAATTAGAGAGAAGAGACCAGCACCAGCCTCACTACAGCCTCCTTTTAGGTAGTTGTAGAGGGCAATAAGGTCTCCTCTCAGCCTCCTCTTCTCCAGACTAAACAAACCCAGTTCCCTCAGCCGCTCTTCGTAGGGCATGTTTTCCAGACCTCTCACAAGCCTTGTTGCCCTTCTCTGCATCCGCTCCAGCACCTCGATGTCCTTCTTATACTGTGGTGACCAAAACTGGACACAGTACTCGAGGTGCGGTCTCACGAGTGCCGAGTACAGGGGCATGATCACCTCCCTTATGATCACATGCCTTAGTCCAAGCATGCTTGTTTTGGATTCTGAAAGTGCTTCAGTCTTGAGGATCCGAGACAAGAATTCCACCTTATGTGTACTTCAAGAATGAGCTGGAGTAAGGCCTCTGAAATTGTTGTGGTTTTGGAATTGAGCTGAACCTGACCTTCCTTGCGACAGCAAGAACAGAAGGATGAAACCCAATTTTTTGTTTCCCCTAATGTTTCACATGTTTCTAAAACTAGATTAATATTGTGCACACATGTTTCTGTCCCACCTGTGGTCTGTGCTAATCCTCTAGGGAACACATCACTAAAACAACTGACCAAGGGACCTTTTCTGCAACAACCACCATCTCTGTGTTACGCAGGTGCTTCCCACAGTGCTATTGCTTCTTCCAAGAGCCCAGGTTTCTGCTGCCATGCTGGCCAGAAACAGTTGCATATCAAACCAAAGACCAAAGAGTTTTCTGGGTGATCAGCTTGCAAAATGAGTGATTTGTTTCTTCTTTCTAAAATGTGCATCATGCTCCCAACAGCGCCCTCGTATCCCCTTATTTGCTTTGTTTATTCTCTGTTTCCTATCACGTGACTAAAATGGAAGTAAAATTGGGATTTGTGTTCTTACTTTGGACAGTTTTTAGCTTCAGGTCTCTCCTGTGATAATTCAACAAGGAACTGAGCAAACCACACAGCTTATAAACTATTTCTTACCATTGCTCTTCACCTTGGAGACTTACATATTTTTAATGTTCAAAACTGTTAAATATTCATGTTCAGTTGGTGTAATTCCTTAACAAGTATTAACTTAATATTTGATGTAATGTTTAAAACAAAAATCCCAAACTGTCTAATTTCCGGAACGCTTTAAAAATGCCTTGCTCTAAGCACAAACATTAACATGTAAGAGATAAACAACTCCTACTCTTATTATGCTGCTTGGTTCAAAAAACAATCACCACTTCTCCTCAAAGGTGTTAAATTGCTGCAGAGAGTAATTATTTGCATAGCAAGTACCTTAGGATTTCTTTCCAGTGTGTCTTCAGTCTGATACAGCATAACCTCTTGCCCTGAGGCTGTCAGATTAACCCACACCTGGAGACAGGGATAAGGAAAGATGTCCTCATCCTCCGAGCCTTCGCTGTTTGAGCAGGGGACTTCTTGGTCTTTGATGTTGGCCTTGAGTACCTTACACATGGTTTCTGTTGTCCAAACGCTGCAAGAAACAAACCCCAAAGTGTTACTTTTCAATGCACGAGCAACACCTGCCAGGAGTTGCATGCTGGGGACACAGCTTTGTGTGTGCTGGCTCCAAGTAGTGGCATGGGTGGAGTTCATGGTTTTCCCCTTTTTTCTTTCTCACATGGACCTTTCGCATGAACAAGTAGCAGCATTTTTGTCTGGCAAAAGCTCATTATTTGCTGTTACTTACCCCTTTTTCTCAGGAGTTACTCTTTTTTATTACTGATAACATGGTAAGTTTTTGCTTACAGCAGCACACTTTGGTGACAAAAAAAGTGAAGAAAGAGTCTTGCTCCTGTTCTTAGGAAACTAATCTTTTTTACAGGTATGTGGTTTTTAGTAATGTAATCGGGAGCCTGGAAAATAAATAATGTGAATTACTCTGCTTTAAGGATAATGTTTTTCAAACATTTTTTGAACTTTAAGGTGCTCTTGGCAAGAGGGAGGTGGATGTGCTTTCTTTCTCTATCAAAATCTTCAAGCATGAAAACAAGCTGCACTCTGTCTTGTTACTTTTTTTTCTTTTGCAAATTGATTTTGTGTGTGGAGGCAGAACTTGAAAAATGAAATAAATGTGAGTAATAGTAACATCTTTCGCATTCATTGCGTACTGCAAGGTTTGCTGTGGTAGACTAGGCTGTTGAAGGTGTTCGTTTCTCATAATGGTTGATTTGGAAGATACAGGTTCTTGACTGAGCAATTTTACTGTGACTTCTGTTGTTCATATTTGTATAATTTTATTAAAAACCAACATGCCCTCCTGGACATGGAAAAGCTTTTTTCTTTCTTTTTCATTTTTTTCTTCTGTTTATGCAAGACTTAGCTTTCCATTATCAAGCTTTGATAAGCATGGTGGGTTTTCATTATACACGTTTTCGTAGTAGAAGTTTTTTATTTAGTCTGTTCTAATTCTAGCCCCAAAGATGATCCATTCCCTCTTGCTTGTGCTTACCTGTAAATGCTTGATGACTTTTTTGCTCACTTTTCTTTTTCTTTTCTTCTGTCTTAAATTCTTATGAGCTCTTCAAGAACCTACCATTTATTTATTGTACAATGTGCTAACATGTATTTTGCCACTGTTATAATAATTGTATTTGATGCTGACAGGACAAAGAAATAGCTTTTTATTCATAAGCAAGTGGCTGTTCTTACCTTTTAGTGTAGAATGGCACAATAGTGATCCCAATAAAGAAGTACATCATCATGGAGCATGCGACCATGCCCAGGCCCAGGCACAGGGCTCTTGTCTCCCCTCGCTTCTGTGCAGTCACTAACTTCTTTCCCAACATGATTTAGAGTTGTGAAATCTGAACAGTCTCTTTCTGATACAAAATACAATACAAAAGAGAGAGGAAAAACTTAACTAGGTTTGGCTACAGGTATCACAGTTGCGTAATAAGTTTCTGAAATATAACATATCCCATGGAGGAACTGTCCCATATTTGCAAAAACTAGAATTTATAAGAGTTACTGTGTTTTTTCATTATCAGCAGACTTTTTCTTGTTTTTAACTTTCTTATGTTTACCATATAGTACTTTTGAAAAGTGTATGTGTGGGGAACTTAGGAGATGGGGTAGGAACACCTGGTTACCTTTGGGGAAAAGTTCTGTTAGCAGCCTCATGTCTTCAGCCTTAACTCGGTCTGTTTTATGTTGCTACTTCTCTGAAGTGAGAGATATTGTGTTGTGTCTTGGTAAAGCTTACATGAAGGGAAAATCTTGCCACAGTAGAATCATTTTTCCTTTATGCCTTTTCTTCTAAGTTAGTATGAAGTGTAGTTTTCTTATTTCAAAAGCTCAAATAACTTAAAATTTAGAATTTGAGAAGTTTGATTCCAAATATGCATTTTTGTTTTCTGTTCCTGTTCATTTGGGGATGCTAAAAACTTGGTGTCTAACCAAATAACAGAGAAGAGCTGTGTCTTTGTCAACAGAAGTAGTACGATGCCATTAAACACAGTGGAACGGGATTAGAAAACACAGCAATTAAAACCACAAGCTGGGGGAAGGACCACTGCTGGCACTAATGGGGGAGTGCAACCCGTGAAATGTTGGTGTAACACGAGGGGAACTCGGCTGCTAGAGCCTGAGCTCAGGGGTGACTGACGTTTTCCCCCCACGCCCTTGCTAAGTAGTGTTCCAAATAATCTTGCTAATGCTCAGATAAAGAGAATCTCAAAATAATTGCTGTGAATCCATATGCTATTAAATCATTTTGATGGATGTATAGGTTTAATATACAAGCCATAACAGTCACAACCCATCACCAGTGTCTGCTGCACTGACAACTGTAACTGAATGCTTGCAGGGGTTTGGTGGGGTTTTGTTAATGAAAAACATGATGCAAGTCATGGTGATGGCAAATGACAAGACCTGCGAGATTTGTGTGGGGTTTCCTGGGGAAAAGGATCAAAGCAGAGCAGAAAAACGGAAGATGTGTTACGTACATGCAGAAACAGGTATCAGTGCTCTTCTCATGTGCAAGACAACAGTCTGCAGCTTCATGTGGTAGCTGGTGTGTTCCCAGGACTCCAGCTTTAGCTGTGTGCCTTCAGGATGGTGTGCGCCCTGCCTAAACCCACCTGTGTCCAGCTGAGCGAGGCAGCAAATAGCAAGAACTAAGTTTATGTGCAGTATAAAACAAACATAAGCCAAAGTTAGCAAATAGGCTTTTCGGATTAACCATCCATCCCAGGCAGAGCTGTGGTGTTACCGGGGGTGGTAACTGAGTTTGGTGAGAGATGAGATAAAGACACCAGAAGCTTTGGGGAGAAATAACGTAAATACCATATGAATGTTGCTTTCTTTCCTGTTAGTTCTGTTTTGCACTGGTAGAAGTGCCTTGTTTTGACTGTTTAATGGTCACAGGAAGAAAGTATTTGTACATTGAAATACTACTGGGTTTAGACTATAACACTGGAATTTTGGTGTTATTATTTTTGTTGTTATAAAAATATAGATGCCCACGGACAGTAAACCAGCTCTGGTCATTTAGCGTAACTCGGGGCTGGTTACAGAATTTTCAAAGTATATATTTTGAAGTTGCTAGGACATGATAACAAAATGATACAGAATGTGAGCTAATGCCCCTGATTAATGCCATATTGTGTTTTTTCTTAGTCTATGGGGTTATAAATAGAACCTTTGGTATCAAGCACTGTCAGCGTGCTCATGCTGTGCCTGCATACTCGCATAGAACCGTGCACAGAGGCACGTGCAGCCCGCAAGGAAACTTGGGGATGTGTCAGTAGTGACTGCTCCTTCAAACTTCTGTTGTTTCTTTTAGTTCTGTGGGGAGGGGAAAATGGAAATAGCATATTTAAAAAACAAAAAAATCCAAAGTACTTAAAACACTGGAATGCTGTGCAGCACAGCACCTCAAGATCAATCGATACTAAACTGATTCTCCTTTACCTGTTGTGCAGCTTGGTCAGAGTGGAAAATGGAATAAAGGGGAAAATGGAACTGCCAGCTGAGTGGCCGTTCCATATAGCACAGTGCAAAGTTAATGACAGACAAATGAAAACCTGCATTGTCAGCAAGACATTGTTACATACACTAACAGTAATTAATCCTTAATTAGTTTTGTGGGAAAATGAAAAAGTGAAAGATTGATGCTGCCAGTGTGACTTGTGGAAAGCTTCTCGTGGGTTAGTGCTGTTAATATCCTGAGTATTAGGTGAAGGATAATGTTTGCATAGCTGTCCCATTACTCTGAGAGATAGTGGGGTAACCAGACCCCTTGTTACGTGGAAAACAAGAAATATGGGACTATTAACCAAAGAATCCATAAGATATGCAATTGCCCCATCAGTCTGCTTGAATGCCAGCCACACAAACAGCAGAAATGCCAGTAAGCTCATCCTTCCTAATCATCTTAAACTGCCACACTCCCCTTTTTGAGACACATAAGGAGTTTGTATGTGTAAACTGGAAATTTTCATAAGTGTCTGAGAGGTTTTCCCAGCATTATGTGCAGTGTTGTTCCCCATCCCGACACCAGCAGGGCTGCCTGACCCTGGATCTCTGCGTGGGCTGCTGGGTGACCCTGTTTGCCTGTGCTCCCCCAGTTCAGATATCTGCTCCGCCCCAAAGAGAATAAGGACATTTAAATTATGCAAAGAATGTTAACAAGAAAGATTTGTCTAAAAATATCTCACTGAGTGCTTCTGTAAACATAAAAAATAACCAGCTAGGTCTTCAGGCAGTGTGAATCAGAGGTGCTCACGTCATTGTTGTGTTGCTGCACCAGATTAACTGTAAATGTGGTTCCTAAAACTGCAATACATGATTCCTGGTGCACTTGTTTCTGCTTTAAAATTTAGAAGACTAGAAAAATCTGTAACACTATTTCATGCAGGTGCAGAATAATTTGGGATGAAACCTAAGTCAGTGAAGGAAAACCCATGTGATTTTTTTTTTTCCTTTCACATATAAATATTCTTATGTTCTTGTGCTAAAAATTCTGCATTTTCTGACTTTCAAGCTGAAGCAATGCTGTATACATATAGAAAAATGCTTATCTGGAATGCCCCCCTTGTTTAAAAGTTGTTGGGGTTTGGGTTGTTGTTTTTTTTTTTCCTCAATAAAAATTCTTCTGTCTCCTAGCTCTGTCATTGTACATTAGGAGGAGTGTTGAAAGAGCCAATTAAATGTTTCCTTTGACAAAATCATTAAATCTTTGAAAAATGAAGCACTGCAGAGGACTCGATTGGCCCAGGAAGTCTCTGAGCATATTCCAGTTGGAAGATGTTGATGTGTATAACATGGGGTTTAGTCTGGCCTTTGAGAGCACGTCTAAATATCTTTTGCACTCAAGATTGTGGAGTGCTTCCATAATTATTAGGAAAATATATGCCCTGAATCTTTACATAATGTTCTTTCTCCCTAATCTTCTTCAGTCTAGTTAAATTATACAGTACATTAGCTGTGCAATTTCAATATATAATCACTGCATTGACAGCTGCTGCTGATAATCCTAGGGGTGCCATCTGCTGAGGTTTGGAACAAAGTGCTATGTTTTGATTAGCAAACTTGTCTGATACCCAGCAGGAAGTCTCTGCCTCTTCCTCCTCCGCCTCTTGAGGAGTTTCCAGTGCTGTGACCTCTGTGAGGTCGGATGAGACCTCTCTCTCAAGTTCCAGGCTCCTCTTAGCTTGGATGCAGCAGGTTTCATAGCACTGATGAATCCATCTCATTCACTTGCAGAAGGGAGGGTGCTAAACCCTTCTCTCAAACTTAAGTTGGTATAAATATTAACAGGGAGCTAGTAAATTATTTTTGACCTGGCTTATGTACAACATATAGTGAGTTTCCAGTGAATGTTTGCGTATTTCTTTCAGATGAGCATCAAGAACTAGTATTAAAACACACTAAGAAGAGCGCTTTAGAGGTGCAGATGACTTGCATCACCAAGGTGCTTTTAAAGAGGCCTGAACCCTTTGGTCTCTACTGCCTCTGCATATGAAATAGTCATTTGCTTTCTCCTACCAAGTGCCAACTCAATAGCTGCCTTAGGGGGTGCCAGTTAGCTCAGTGGATTGACCACGGTGCTGACAACAATGACAACACCGAGGTTGTGGGTTCGATTCTTGCTCGGTCCCCATGTTTTGCCTGGTCTAGTCGAGAGGTGGCGTCCCTGTCCATGACAGGGAGGTTGGATTAAATGATCTCTAAGGTCCCTTCCAGCCTAGGAAATTCTATGATTCTCAAAACACCTTGTGTGGACAACATAAAAACTGGTGGCCTTGCTGGGTGTGTAAGAGCAGCACAGTATCGTTGCCGGGTTACTGGCCAGGTGCTTTGTGTGGGAATCGGAAGGCAGCACAAATTTTAGATCTATAAAAGTGAGCTCTGTACCGGTTATACTGCAGTGGCAGAGCTGCACCACTTACGTGTTTACTACTGTCTCTGAGTAGAATTAGATGGATTCCCCACACTTTGCCTACCTGTTCCCACGAGTATTTTAACACTGCTTAGATTCCTCCTTCCTTTCTGTTTCAATTCTGCCCTCCTGCTTCTGTCACCTCTGGCCCCACCGCTTACACCCGGCATGACAGGCCTGGAGCCAAAACTACATTTGCATTGGCACTTGCTTGCCCTCTCCCTGCCCTGCACATCCTGCTCCAGCATTTATCCACAGTTCTTGCTGGTACCAAGTCTGCTTTTGCCAGTGGTGCTGGGGCCAGGTAACACCAGGTTTGTTCGCTGCAAATCATTAAGAACCCTTTGCTTACAAAGCATTCTGTGCATCTGGCACCACAAAGACTGTGTGTGTTACCGAATAAAGTGATGCTAAACCTTGATGGAAATGGGCACAGAAAAGAA